CAGCCTCGACCTGCTGGGCCCAGGCGATCCTTCCGCCTCAGCCTTCCAAGTAGCTGGAACCACAGGCACGCACCACCACGCCTGGCTAATTTTTTGATTGATTGTAGAGATGAGGTTTCACCATGTTGCCCAGGCCGGTCTCGAACCCCTGGGCTCAGCAATCCTCTTACCTCAGCCTCCCACAGTACTGGGATTACAGGCTTGACCCATGGCGCCCGGCGCCGCTTGCCCTCTTTTAACTTAGACCTGCCTAAGAAAGCCTGCCCAGCTACCTCTAAGCCACGTTACCCAGCCTGCCTCAGTTCAGTCTCCCTTCAGGGAAGATGCCTGTCTTCTCCCATCTTAGAGCCTCACGACCCAGCCTCCCCCCAGCTCCTGTTTGCCTTCCCTTCCTCTTTTCAGCAGAACTCCTTGGAAGAGCCTGGACTGGCTGTTTCCAACCGCACCCCTTTTTCTCTCATGCTCGCTGGGAGGATCTTGTCCACTCCCCACCCCACCCAATGGCTCCTCTCGGGGCTGTGGGCGCCACCTGTTGCCAGAGCTCACCGCCCCGCGGGACCCCTCTCCCTGAGCCAGGGCGGCTGCACCATGTTGACTGCTGGCTCTCGAAGCCCTTTCTTCACATGGCCTCCAGGGACCCACACCCATTCGATCCTCCTTGAAGTAGCCAGAGGGATCCCTGAGGAAGGACCTCAGAGCTTCTCAGCTCAGAACTCCCAAGTGCTTCCCTCTCCTGGAGGGTGCAAGCCCATGCTGCCTTGCTGTGGCCCCAGGGGACCTCTGTGATCTGTCTCCCTCCCTCGGTCTCTCCACCCCGCTGGGTCTTTCCACCCTGCTCCTCCTCCTTTCCCGCGGGATTTCTCTGCCTCAGCCTCACAGGCCTTCCCACAGCTCATTGAACCTTTAGGCTACGTCTTGCCTCAGGGCTTTCATCCTTGCTTTTATGTCTGGCGGAGAAGCTCTTCCCCAAGACATCCTAGCCTCCCTGCCTCCAGTCCTTCAGGCCTGTGCTCAGAAGTCTCCCTCTCGGTGAGGTCTTTCTTGGCCACCCTTCCAACCCTTTTTGTTCCCTGCTTCTCCCCGGCTTACCACACTTCACAGCCCCCTCCTCCTCTTTGCTTTTGTTTTTAGTACTTATTGTAGATAACATGCAATACATTTTACTTATTTTTCTATTTTATCATCTCTCTTCCCGATTAGAATGTAATCTTCACGAGGGCAGATTTTTGTTTTCTGTATTTCATTCACTGCTATATCCCCAGGGCCTGAAAGAGAACCTAGCGCATGCTAAGCATCCCATACATGCTTGTTGAACTCATGCAGGGAGAGATCAATGGCCCAGTGATTGGGAAAGAGGCATACAACTCCCTTCCTGTCTCTTGAGTAGTTCCCACACGTTCACAGATAGAGTGTAGGACGGAGACAGCTGTCATAATTCTCTTGTCAGAGTTGCGAGTACTAGACTGTGTCATTTTTTCTTTTACTTTGGAGAGGCTTATGGGGTATGGGATTCGTCCTACAAATTAAGAGTCACAAATTAAGATTAACAAATTATGTAACAATTATCCCTTTCTCAGTCTATGCAAATCATGCCAACTACTTCATGGAGCACTTTGACGATTTAAGAACTCTTGGTAGGTATCTTAATGGAGGGATTGTGCTTGATACTGTGGAAAATAATTTTAAGAGTGATGTTACTAGTCCCATTTCTTTAGAAATTTAGGCTATGGTTGGTATAAGAACCATACATGTGAAAAATAAAAATGCAAACAAATGCCTAATGTCAGTTGAAGAGTGAAGATAGTAAGTGCCATCCAAGCTGTTCAGAGGTAAAGACTGAACAGTTAGAGAAGGCTGTAGGTGGGCTGACATAACCTGGGTAGTGCTGGGGTGGCGGGGGGAGTTTGAGGTGGGCAGGGAGTTCTCGTGTCTTTGGAGATGGGTGTCTTTTTAATGTGGTTTTACTTAATTTTTAACATATTTTGAGTTCCAGGAATGTTGGACATGTCACATTCGAAAGTAATCACTATATGCCAGAAATGAACCCAGATTATTATTATTATTATTATTTTTGAGTTGGAGTCTCACTCTGTCGCCCAGACTGGAGTGCAGTGGCCGCTCCCGGCCACCGCAGCCTCGACCTGCTGGGCTTCGGTGATCTTTCCACCTCAGCCTTCCAAGTAGCTGGAATTACAGACATGCGCTACCACGCCTGGCTGATTTTTTGATTTATTGTAGAGATGAGGTCTCGCTGCCCAGGCGGGTCTCGAACCCACGGGCTCAGGCAATCCACTCACCTCAGCCTCCCAAAGGCGTGTGATTACAGGCTGAGCCACCGAGCCCAGCTAAACCCAGATTATTTTAAAGTACCGTCTCTGCATTGGACAGGATGCTGATACTTGAAGTTACACTTAGTGTGAAAAAGATACTGATGACTGCAGCTAGCAATGCAGCATTATGTCATACAGGTAGCACCGACAGTCCATCAGACTTAACTCAGACATGAGTCAAGAGCATTCTGCACATTCTGGGAATTTCTAAAAGTGTTGGTTATCATCTTTGCCCAATAAGAGAGTCTTTGGTTTAAAACCAGGCTAAGACTGGGTGTTGTGGCTCAAGCCTGTAATTCCAGCACTTTGGGAGGCCGAGGTGAGGGCACAGCCTGAGCCCACAGGTTCGAGAACAATCTGAGCAACTTGGTGAGACCTCATCTCTACCAAAAAAAAAAAAAAAAATCAAAAAATTAGCCGGTCATGGTAGCATGCACCTATAGTTCCAGCTACTTGGAAGGCTGAGGCAGAAGGATCACCTGAGCCCAGTAGGTCGACGCTGGGGTTGCTGCGAGCATGCCACTGCATTCCAGCCTGGGCAACGGAGTAACTCCAACCCAAAATAAAATAAAATAAACCAGGTTAAGACAGCTTTTATTTTCAGTAGTATTGTTTTGAGAGGTAAGGTTGTATAATGCTGAAGCCCATGGACTTGGAAGTCAGACGGCCTGAATTTAAATTCTGGCTCCACTATTTGCTGACTGTGTGATCTTGGAAAACTCGATCTCTTCAAGTTTTTATTTTTTCTCATCTGTAAAATAGGATATTAACAATCTATTTATTTATTTTTGAGTTGGAGTATCCCTCTGTCACCCAAGCTGGAGTGCAGGGGCATGCTCACGTTCACTGCAGCCTCAACTTGCTGGGCTCTGGTGATCCTTCCACCTCAGCCTTCCAAGTAGCTGGAACTACGGGTGTGAGCTACCATACCCGGCATTTTTTTTTGATTCATTGTAGAGATGCAGTCTCATCAGTTTTCCCAGGCTGATATCAAACCTTGGGCTCAGGCAGTCCTCTCACCCCCGCCTCCCAAAGTGCTGGCATTACAGGTGTGTGCCACCGCACCTGGCTGGGATGTTAACAATTTCTTAAAGGATGGTTGTGAGAAGCAAACGAAGTAATTCCTGTCAAAGTATTTATCATAATGTCTAGCACACAGCAAGCATTTCATAACATGAGTGATTACTGCCATTTTAACAGTTCTGCTTCTCAGGGTTTATTTGTGTAAATAAATATAATTGGATTTTTCTGTGTTGTGTGCCATTTGAAATTGGATTTCTCCTTGTACCACAAAAAGTAAAGATAAGGAACTGGTTGATCTCCTGTGATTTATGATCCACTAAGTGCTTTTTGTAGTTTTTGTGCACATATCTGTGTTGGTGAAATGTATTAGGTATCATACTCCAAGTGAGTGTTGACATTGAAGGGATAACTTCATGCAGGTAAGCATAACTACTTCAGTCTCCCAAGCAAGCGTATGAATTTTTTTCTCTCTTTTTCTTTTTTGGCAGGAGATTCTTTTGTACGACTGCTTATTCTCATTTGTTCATCAAGGTCTTTGAGTCTTCAAGGGCAGAATTTGCCTCTAAACAGAAAGATGGAAACTAGAGTACATTTATTTTGCCAGGTATTTATTCAAAACAATTTCTAAAGATTCTCTTTTTCTTTAACAGTTTATGTTTTCTCACATTTGTAATCAGTCAGCAAAATCATGGAGCGAAAAAGTTGTCAGGAACCTGCCTCATGACAGAGATGCCTTTTGAGTTTTTTTCACGAACACGTCTGATGCTCATCCCAGCCACCCATGTGCTACCAGGAGATCTTCTGCATGTATGATGAGCTCATCTTGGGGGTTAAGAACCTGGGTAATTCTTCTGGAGATCAAAAGACTTAAACTCATATGAGAGGTTGAAGATGAGGTACTCAGTGAAGCTAACCTAAAGGCAGTAGGAAAGACAAGACATCACATTGCTCCAGCTTGCTTCTGGTTTTTAGCAGTTTTTAAAAAACATTCCATCCCTCCTTTTAGTATTTTGTCAAATAAAGCCACATCTGTCAAATATAAACAAGTCTGGACTTAGCAAGGAGCGATTTGATTCAGAAGAATTATTACAAGGGAAGAAGGGAGACTATTGAAACAGAATGAGGACTGTTGCAGTGGCAGGATGCTGTGACCATAAGATCTGCAGGCATCTCAAGGGCTGGGCCAAAGAGGTTTTCTTTTCTAAGGAGGAGGAAACAAGGCTGGAAGAACCGGGTGTGGGGAAGCGGGGAACGAGTGGCATGATTAGATAAACAGATCAGAGAGTTTTTGTTATTGTTGTTGGAATCTCACTCTGTTGCCCAGGCTGGAATGCAAGGGAATGATCACAGCCACTGCAGCCTCAGCCTCCACAGACATGCGCCACCACATCTGGCCTGTTTTGATTTGTTGTAGAGACGAGGTCTTGCCATGTTGCCCGGGCTGGCCTTGAACTGCTGGGCTCAGGCAATCCTCTTACTTCGGCCTCCCAAAGTGCTGAGATGACAGGTGCGAGCCAATGCATCTGACCAAGGTCAGATACTATTTTATTATGAGGTCAGTTTATTTTGTTCTGATTATCAGTGGGCATAAAACTGTTCATCTAATCATGTATGAGACAAAAAACGGGAATTTTTTTTTAAGTCAGAGTCTCACTTTGTCACCCAGGCTGGAGTAGAGTGGCATGCTCACCGCCACCTTAGCCTTGACCTACTGGGCTCAGGCAATCCTTCCACCTCAGCCTTCCAAGTAGCTGGAACTACAGGTGTGTGCCACCACACCTGGCTAATTTTTCTCAATTTATTGTAGAGACAAGGTCTCACCAAGTTGCCCAGGCTGGTCTCAAACCCGTGTTCAGGCAGTCCCCTGGCCTCGGCCTCCCAAAGTGCTGGGATTACAGGCTTGAGCCACCTTGCCTGGCCAGAAGGAGAATTTTGAGGGTTATGTCTGACACTGCTATAAGTAAGCAAGGGAGGCACAGGTGAGTCTTAGCTAAGTCATGTGGGAGGAGATGGCTTGCAGTAAGCCATTTTCCAGAAAGGTGGGGGGATAACCTTTCACCTTTTCTGTTTTCTGGGAGAACAGGTCTCAAGTAAAATTCACCATTATCAGTTGAGAGTCCTCATCTTTTATATTAGCATAGATATAAGAATATTTAACAAATCTGGTGCCATTATGTAAGACATATACCTAATATGACCTGAAAAATAATTTCAGGGATTCTTGTTAAGTGCTGAGATATGTACTTCATGTCATATATGTGTATATATATGGTTGACTTTGCCCTTATAAACAGACTTTGAAGATAAATTCTTGAAAAGTTACATTGAAACACCATCCTGGTTGGTTTTCCTTCGGCTATAATAGCAGTTCATGCTTCACAGATGGTTCACCTTTGACCGCAGGTTTCCGAGAGTCTTTTCTTGTTTTCTCTTCCTTCTGTGTCAGTGTTCACTGGCTTTTTGGCCTGTCTTTGTTCACTTGGCCTTTGGTAACAGGCTTTTATGTCCTTTGGTCTTTTTGGATTTCCTGCCCTTTCTGCCCCTCCCTGTTCTCTATTTTAGGTCATTTTTTTCCAGTCTCTCTAAGAATCCTTTCATCAATTAATACATATCTCATTGAGGTGACAAATCTATTTTTTTCTGGAAACAAATTGTTAAAGGTGTGCCTTTGCTATAAGACACATGTGAGCAGATTCCAAAAGTCACTGAAATAGTTCCCTCATTCCCATCGTATGTGGAAATAGAGATTCTCTCTAAACTTCCTTGGTAATCTTCTTTGTAAGTTGCCTGTATAATCTGCAAGGGCACCTTGGGGTTCAAGGGCTTAGGGGTTTAAAAACGAATGCACCTTCCATCAACTAGATGCCATCCAGGTGTCTTAAGCAAATAGCTACATTTAAAATTTAAGAGACAGTGTTTCCAGCTTCATTCCTCTGTTTCTAAACATGTTTATTTCCTTTTTTTTGGGCAGAGAGAGAGGTGCCTGTTGAGAAGCAATCTAACTCCTTCTTTTTTTCTGAGTTGGAGTCTCACTCCTTCCCCAGGCTGGAGTGCAGTGGCATGCATGCTCACAGCCACCCCAGCGATCCTTCTGCCTCAGCCTTCTGCGTAACTGCAACCTTCTTGTCTTTAATAGACTTTGGTTTTTAGAGAAGTTTCAAGTTCATAGTGAAATTGTGCAAGAAGTCTAGGTTACCGTGTGTCCAATGACCCACACACGCACGACCTCCAGCGCTGTCAGCATCCTGCTCCAGAGTGGTTCATTCATTGCAATGGATGAACCCACTTGGGCGCACCATTGTCACCCAAGGTCCATAGTTTGCATTAGAGTTCACTTTTGGTGTTGTACATTCTGTGAGTTTGAGCACATGCATTGTGACATGCAGCCAACACGATAGCATAGTTAGCTTCATGACCCTGAACTCCTCTGTGTTCTGGCTGTTCATCTCGCCACTCCCCAACTGCTGGCTGCCACTGATCTTTTTACTGTCTCAATAGGTTTACTTTATCCAGAATGTCTTATGGTTGGAATTGTACAACACGTAGCTTTTCAAATTGGCTTTTTAAAAAGCCTAACATGCATTTGAAGTTCCTTCATGCCTTTTCATGGCTTGATGGCTCACGGTGTGATGTGTTGATCTAGGTTTACATCACAGATCACTTTGTAGCACCGAATAATATTGCATTCTCTAGCTGTGCCAGTTGATTTATCTGTTCACCTATTGAAGGACATCTTGGTTGCTTGTTGGGAGCCAGCATCTATAGCTACATGGCTGAGGCCTGTAAAGGCCCATCTGGAAGATCGCCTCTGACATAGGATATCAGTTATACCTATAATACTGGCGTGTGATTAGTGACCAGTGTGCATACATGGCAGTAAAACTTATAAGTAAATATCAATATGCCTGATGGAGAGTGCACAGCAGAATTATTTTTCTCTGTCTTTCTAAGTTGTACTCCTTTTTTAAACTTCTATTTCCTGGTAGACTGGTTAGTCAGCTCTTGTTCCCGAAAGCAGTTTCCCCTAGGGCTAAGATTAGAAACTAAATTACCATAATAGTTTTATCGCCCTGCCCCTAGCCAAGCAGAACGTTTTCTTTTGTTTTGTTAATTACCGAAACTCTGTCTGCTTCAGCCCATGGCCACCGTCATGGCGGCCATGCATTTCCTTGTTCAAGAGTGTGACAGCTACTATTTGATTTTTAGAGTAGACTTGTTAGAATAAAATATATACATATACACTCATAGTTGCATTTGCATTTTATAGTATATTTGAGTAAATTTATGCTTGCTGTTTTGTTTCCTTTTGCTACATTATTCAAATATAATAGTTATATATGATTTATAAAAGAATTAATGATGAGGTATTAGCTTAATAAGATATAGCATAGTATTAAAGTCCAATCACTAGATCATATAAGAATTAAAGTTTAGACATATGAAACTCATATGAATTATAGTAAAGTTTGGTAGTTTAAGAATAAGTTTTAACTGAATTATAAGGCATTATGTTAAATCATAATAGGTTAATAGTATAACTAACAGCTAAGTCATTTAAGTAAACTTATAGATTATAGTATAATGTTAAGTTGATAATATTAATCGTTAAACATATTAGGAGTCAGTAAACTTGGATTTAACTTAGAAAAGTTTTTGTATTAATCAGGATTTAGAACAAAGAGTATAATATGAATGATTTATTGAACATTATTGAAAACACTTTGAACGATCTGTATTGAAATTGTGCACCTGTGACCTTAATGTGGGTTTTGTGAAGCACGACAGGCATCATGGAATTCGAATTGTTTGCTTGGAACTTGCAAATCTCGTGATGGTCTTGTGATGCATAGTTTGTAAAGCGTGATATGCATGGAAATTGTACGCCCCAGCAAGTGATTATCACACTGCTGGAGGGTATAGAAAATGGTATATAAGTTGGAAGGAGTCCGAATAAAATTTGGCTTCAGTCCTGATCAGACTGTTCCCAGAAGAACTGCCTCCGAGTGGTCTCTTCTCGCCGTCCAGATTCTCCGGAGTGGGTCCTAACCCACCCTCGGTCGGAGCGGGTCTCCGACAGATGCTTCCAAGTTTTGGCAATTCTGAAGAAAGTTGCTATTAACGTCCAAGTGTAGGTTTTTGTGTGGGCATACATTTTCCGCTTATTTGGTCAAATACCAACAAGTGCGATTGTTGGATCTTATGGTGAGAGTATGTTTAGTTTTGTAAGAAGCTGCCAAGCTGTCTTCCATAGTGGCCGGACCATTTTGCATTCCCACCAGCAGTGATGAGAGTTCCTCTTGTTCCACATCCTTGCAAGCGTTTGTTGTTAGGGTTTTGGATTTTTGCCATTATTTTTTCTTAATTACATTTTTTTCTTACTGTTTTAAATTGCCAAATAATAATTGAGTGCATTTGCAGTCTACAATGTGATATTTTGATCTATATATACACTATAGAAAAATTTAATCAAGTTTTTAACATAATCATCACTCCACCAACGTATCCTTTTGTGTGTGTGTGTGTGTGTGTGTGGTAAGAACATAAAGGTCTGTTATTTTAGCAATTTTCTTTTTGAGACGAGGTCTCACTCTGTTGTCCAACCTGGAGTGACACATTCACAGCTCACTGCAGCCTCAACTTCCTGGGCTCAGGTGAACCTTCCTAGCCTCGGGTCTCAGCCTCCCAAGTAGCTGGGACTACAGGCAAGTGCTACCATACCTGGCTAACTTTTTGATTTTTTTGTAGAGAAGAGGTCTGCCTAGGCTGATTTTGAACTCCTGGGCTCAAGCACTCCTCCTGCCTCGGTCTCCCAAAGTGTGGAGATTACAGATGTAAGCCATCATGCCTGGCCCAATTTTGAAATGTATAGCACATTATTTATTAACTGTGGTCACCATGCAATGCTGTCGATCACTACAACTTATTCCTCCAGTCTAACTGACTCTGTACCCTTTGATTAACATCTTCCCTTTCCCCATCCTTCTTCCCCCACCTTCCAGCCTCTGGTAACCATATTTCCACTCTGTTTCTATAAGGTCAACTTTTAAAAATTGAACATATAAACGAGATTATACAGTATTTGTCTTTCTGAGCCTGGCATATTTCACTTAGCACAATGTCCTCCAGTTCCATTCATGTTATTGTGAATGACAGAATTTCCTTCTTTTACAGGCTGATAGTATTCCATTGTATATCTACACTACATTTTTTTATGCGTTCATTTGTTAGTGGATAGTTAGGTTTTTTCCATATCTTGGCTATTGTGAATAACGCTGAAATGGGCGTGCAGATATCTTTCCAGCGTACTGATTTTAATTCCTTTGGATATATATCCAAAAGTGGGATTGCTGGATCTCATGGCAGTTCTATTTTTAGTTTTTTGAGGTACCTCCATACTGTTTTCTATAATGGCTGGATATGTATACCAACAATGTAATGAATACTTATACCAGCAGTGTGCAAATGTTTGTTTTGTTATAACACTTATCTTTTGTCTTTTGATAATAGCCATTCTAACAGGTGTTAGATGATATCTCATTGTGGTTTTTATTTGCATTTCCCTAATAATTAGTGATGCTGAACATATTCCCATAAACTAGACGGCCATATGTATGTCTTCTTTTGAGAAATGTCTGTTCAGTTCCTTTGCCCATTGGAAAATTGGTGGTGTGGAGGCTAGGTGGGGGGATATATAAAAAAAATTGGTGGTGTATTTTCTTGCTGTTGAGTTGATTTCCTTATATATTTTGGATCTCAACCCCTTATCAGATATATGGTTTGCAAATCTTTCCTCCCATTCTGTGGGGTGTCTCTTCCCTCTGTTTTCTTGCAGTATAGAAGCTTTTTAGTTTGATGGACCCCATGTGTCTATTTTTGCTTTTGTTGTCTGTGCTTGTAGCGTCCTCACCAACAAATCACTGCCCAGACCAATTTCATGGAGACATCCCCCATGTGTTCTTGTAGCTTTACAGTTTTAGGTCTTATGCTTAAGTTTTTTGTGTGTGGTAAGAACATAAAAGTCTATTATTATAGCAATTTTCCATTTCCAGTTGATATTTGTATGTGGTGTGAGATAGGGCCCAAGTCTCTGTATGTGGCTTTCCAATTTTCCCAGTATCATTTATTGAAGAGATTGTCTTTTCCTCATTGTGTGTACTTGGCACCTTTGTCAAAAATAAATTGATTATTAGTTAGTTCTTGGCTTTCCATTCTGTCCCCTGAGTTAATGTGTCTGTATTTATGCCCGGATTATTTTGTTTTACTATAGATTTATGCTGTATTTTGGAATAAAGATGTATGATGCCTCTAGCTTTATGATTTTTGCTCAATATTGCTTCTGCTATTTGGGATCTTTCCTGGTTCCATATGGGTTTTAGGATTTTCTTTTATTTTTTAGTTGGAGTCTCACTCCATCCCCAAGTGGCATGCTCATGGCCACCCCACCGTTGATCTGTTGGACTCAGGCGATCCTTCCGCCTCAGCCTTCCAAGTAGCTGGAACTACAGGCGTGTGCTACCACTGCCTGGCTATTTATTTATTTATCGAGGTCTTGCCAAGTTACCCAGGCTGTTCTCAAACGTGTGAGCTCAGTCAATTTCCTCACCTCATCCTCCCAAAGTGCTAGGATTACAGGCTTGAGCCACCGTGCCTGGCCTGGATTTTTTTTTTTAATCTGTTTGAAAAAAATTGATATTGGAATTTTGATAGGAATTGCATTGAATCTGTAGATAATTTTGGGTGTTATGGACATTTTAACAATATTAATGTTTCCAGTCCATGAACATAGGATAGCTTTTCATTTATTTATGTCTGCAATTTCTTTCATCATCATTTTATAGTTTTCATGTTGAGTTTTTGCCATTCTAACAGCTGTGTAGTGGTATCTCATTTTAATTTGCTGTTCACTAATGACATATCATGTTGAGCATCTTTTTGCATGCTTATTTGCCATGTATCTTACTTCTTTGGTGAGATGTCTAGTCAAGTCTTTTGCCTGCTTTTAAGATTGGATTCTCAAACGCCCAAGTTAACCTAATCAGCCCTTGTAACCTATGTGACATGAATAAGCCCCACCATGGCAGCAATCATGTGACTAACCCACCCATCTGCCTGCTGTCCATCCCCGAACGTCAGTACCTGCGCTTGCTGCCCCTTTGTGATTACGTTGAGTAGACCACCGCTCAATCACCTGAATGATCCTCCCCATCAAGGGGAATGCTTAAAAGGACTCAACCACAAGCAGCTGGCGGCCATTGCTCTGTGCTCTTTGAGCTACGGCCCTTGCCATGCTTCCTGACTTTGGCACCCTCTCCCACCTTGGGGACATGATCCCTTCTCTTTCTCACTCTAATTTATTCTTAAATAAAATATATTTAAAAATCTAACTTCTGTGCAATTCTTTGCATCTTTCACGCAACATCGAATCACACCCCAGATGGCCAGGCTCATCTTAGAGTGCTGGCCCTCTTCCTGTCGGTGGGAAGTAATTTCTTTCTAAATAAATCTTTTCTTCATGATAAAAAAAGTTCTTTGTATATTTTGGATAACAGTTTTTTAAAAATCAGGTGTATTTTGCAAATATTTTCTTCTAGTCTGTGGTTTGTTCTCTCATTCTCTTGGTATGTCTTCTACAGAGCAGATGTTTTTAATTTAAAGGAAGGCCAACTTATAAATTATTTCTTTTATGTTTTTGGTTTGTATCTAACATCTAGTTGATTTTTATAATAAAAAATGATTGCTTTGCACAGTGTATGGTAAACTTTTGCATCTTGATGCCTTAAGAGTTAGATTCAATAACTGTTAGATATAGTAATGAATGATGTGTACTTTATAGCTATGTAATGCACTAAGGAAATTTGGAAATACTTAATCTAGAAAGACAATGCACTAATGAATAAAACCTTTGTCAATTGAATTCCCCTTGGTAGCACTATCTGAGAAAGAATGTTGGTCTGAATTGAATGACTTGACCCAAAATGCCATATTTACTGTGTGTGCGCATCGCGAGCTTAACTGATTGTGGCTCTTGGTTATCCCCTAGGCAGAAGAAAGTGTTGACTTATTAGATGATGGCTCTAATTCTTTTGCAACTGACTTTCCTTCAAGAAATATCAACAGCAAAAAATACATAAAGTTTTCTAAAACAACAGTGAAGAAAATTTCACCTGAAATTAGGAGTTTGATGCCAGAATGTAAAAAAATGTAAGTTAATAACTGAAGTTACTTTACCAAAGTATTCTTTTACAAGTTAAAAGCACCAAAAATGTAGCTTATGTTTCTCATAATGTACTATTTATATAGGATCATGCGTATTTATGGCCATTCACTCAGGAGCATGGTTTTAACTCTTAAATATCCTTACACTTGTTTTCACTTCTCTTATGGTCACATGAAAGTCATAAAGTACATAGGATTCTAGTTAGAGTAGGGCAATTATCTATATGTCTGCAAGTTTGTCTTAAAGAGAATTTAGGAAGGCAACAGAAGGTTCTTCCCTCTAGGCTTGGATTTGTGCTTTCCACAGAATTAAGCTGTTTGAGTATTTTGGCAGTTTTTTCTTGTGTGTTGCATTGCCTGGTTGCCTTGTGTTAGTTCTAACATTTCATATGCATGCAGGAGAAATATCTAATTTGTACTTTTAATATTTATAAAATGACTAAAATAGAAAAGAAATATTTATCAGAAAGAAGAAATCCTCTAGGAAACTGTTCAGGAGTGTTAACTCACTTTATCTTTCTCCAACTAAATGCTGGTCTTACCTGTTGGTGAAGTTGGAAATTGCCTGCACACTGCACTTAAACCAGTGTTTTCTCTACCTGTCAGATGTTTGTGTTTCCATTATTTTAATCTATTATTTTCACCACTACTTCTGTTTGTTAGATGACAAAAGTCAAAGCAGTTATTTCTAGAAGACTACAGTAAAACTTGCTACCTGAGAAGAAAAGGAAGGCGGCGGGAGTGTTCACTTTATCTTCTTTCATTAGTTTTGTTCAACATAGATTAATACCTTGGGAGGCATATACCCCCAAATAATAAGGTATTTATTCATTATTTATACCAGATCATCTTTTTTCCATAAAATGTTTGAAGCAACTCATAATTTTGAAACACACTTATCCTTTTGTCAACCTAAGTAAGGAAGCTGAGGCAAAATTAATGTAGGTGGAGAATTTATTTGAGCCCAGGTTAAGGACCACAGCCTGTTCTGCTTTGCAGAACACAGGAGAGGCTTAAGTTTTTAAAGCAAAAAAGGACCCATCAGGAGAAGGGTGACTACAAAAGTTGTTTTTTTGGAATTCTCATTGGTTTGCAGAAATTACCATGATTAGTGATTGGCTAGATATTGTTGAACTATAGAGTATGAGTTTTAGTGTCCAGTGTATGGTGTTGCTAGATTAATTTACAGCTGCTTGGTGGTGACAGTCTAGAGTCCACATCACAGATGACTTTGAAGTAATTACTTAACTCAGGGGGAAGTGAGGCATAATATCTATCTCATTTTTTTTTTTTTACAGTCAGATCTTTATTTAAAAATCAGATCTGCCAACTTAGCGCTTTCCACCAACTTGGGGAGCAGAAACCTTCACAGGCTTCACAATCTTTTGCTTAGGTGCTGCCTTTGTGGGGGCCTTAGCAGCAGCCATGGCAGTCTTTTTAGATGCTTGCTTAGCCTTTTTTGCTTCCTTAGCAGCCCTGATAGCTTGTTCTCGTTGAGCCTTTCTCACTTCAGGTTTCTGATTCCTGTTGGCCATTATATCAGCAAGAGATGCACCAGTAATGGCCCCCTGGAATTTGACTGCACGGCGGGTTCTTTTCTTTTGAATTTCTTCCGACTGTCCCTTTTTGTGCTCTCTTCTGTAGAGGACAGTCCAGCTTATTTGCCGAGGATTCCTCTTGGAAAGGAACGCGGACTCGCATTTTGCGTTAAGGAACTGAAAGACCTTCGCGTGGGTCCTGGCGTAGTGCCTCCGGTGTCCGGGCTAGATCTTGTAGCCCCGGAAACTGCACAGCTCGGCCTTCCTGGCGGCGGCTCCGGGGGAAGAGGGAATTGGCACAGAGAGCTCTATCTCATTTTAATGCCTCTTCTGGGCCTGATAATTTAATGAGGCTCTCATTTATCAGATAAAAAGTTCATTTTCTTTTTCTTTTTCTTAAAGATGAAAGTTTAAAAATCATGAGTGGAAGTCATCGTTCTACCAGAAATACGGAGCCTCCATTGCAATGCGACTGCATGGGGAGGGGGTGGAGAATAGAAAGCAGCAGTAGACTGCAGGTTGCAACTCGTCGATGAGTCATGAAATCGGCTCAGGAGATCGCTACTTGGCTTGTTTTTAAAAGATTTAAAAGTCAGTCTTCCATACAACCCAGCAGTTCCCCTTCTGGGACTATACCTGGAGGAACTCAAATCACTCTATGAAAAAGATACCTGCACGTGCATGTTTATTGCAGCACTCTTTACAATAGCAAAAACATGGAACCAACTATGCTGCCCATTGAAAGTGGACTGCATAAAAATGTGATATATATATACATGATGGAATATTACACAGCTATAAACAAGGACAAAATTATGGACTTCACAGCAACTTGGATAGACTTAGAGTCTATAATACTCAGTGATCTATCACAGGAACAAAGAACTGAGTAACACATATTCTCACTCGTAAACAGACCCTGAACAATTATCACAAGACTCTAAGAAGGGGGATTGGAGTGGTGGGAAACTGCTGGGGCAGGGTGGGGGGCTGGGCGGGCAGGGTGCACACTTCATCAAGGACACCTGATCTCAACCAGGTGAAGTGGGGACCAAAGTAAGACCCAAACTTTACCTGTACAGTGACCATTTGTATACTTAACCCTGAATTGCACCCCACATCTTTAGAGTAAAAATTAAAAAAAGAAATAGAATATAATTGAAGACGTTAGAGTGCTTTTCACAAAATATATGTGAAATTGTTCCCATTATCATTCTCCCTCCCCCCTCCATCTCTCTCTTTCTCTGTCCCCCTTCCTCTGTATATGTACGCTGTCACAATAAAAAATATATTTTAGACTGTGGATCATAGTCAAAATAGTTGAAAGTCATTGACTTTGAGACTAGAGGACTGCAGAGGGGACTCATCATATAGCAGCTTTGGAGAGGCAAAGAGCAAGGTGAGGGGTTCTGGAGGTAGGAGTTTAGGTGATGCAATATAAAGGGATCGAGTGTCAAAAGGGCAAGGTGCACAATACATACATACAATTTGATTCATCAATTAAAAATACAAAAATTTAAAACCACAATGCACACATACAATTTTGTCTGTCGATTTAAAAATAAATACATTAATTAAAAAAAAGGCCAAGGTATCTGCTAAGGAAGAGGAGTGGCATGCATGATAAAAATTTTTATTATTTCACAATTTTGCTTAGGACTAAAGCAGTTACCTGAAGCTGTTGTTGATATAATCTAGTTAGTCATTGTCTTGTTAGGGTTGTTTTTGAAATTTAGGTCTACCCTGGATTACTTGAAGCAAAGTACACTATTTCCAACAGTATGGGCCTTCTGTTTTCAAATTAATTAAAATATGATTCATGTTATTTTTATACCATTGTTGTATAGTTTATGAGATATGTGTTTTATGAACATTCTTGGCAGTCCAATAAGAAGAGGAAAAAGAAGGAAAAAGAAGAAAAAACCAAGCTATAAGAAAGCAATAAAAAACAATATAAAGAAGTTCAGCTTCTTGTGTCCACACTTGAGTCTTCAAATGCCACTTCTTGTTAGATGACACTTTGGAGAAATGACTGATTTGCATGTCTGTGAGAGAAGAATATGCAGATGAGCCTGGAACATCTTGTCTTCCAGAGGTATGGAAACCAAAAAAGACTACAAGACTACTGCTGATGTTGGGTGGTGAGGGTTGTAGTTGCTGTGTGGGTTCTTGACTTTACCCCAGCAAAGAATTTTAGAGTGAGTCCAAAGTATAGTTTAAGGGAAAGTTTGTTACAGAGAAGAAACACTGTCAAGGGAGAATGCGGGTGCCTTACAGAGAAAGGACATGTGCTTGGGGTTAACAAACAGCTTTTTATATTTCCTAAAATGATTAAGCAACCTATTTCTTAAGGTCAGATATGTGGACTTTATAGGCTATAAGCTAATGATCACAAGTTTCAGTTCTTACTGTTTAACTTCCGTGCTGACTTGCATCACAAATAATTCTTCAGATAATGGAAAAAGAACAAAAGTTATTGTTTAATTAAATTTTTTCGGAACTCCATGCCTCAGTGCTTCTAGCAACTCCTCATTGCCTCTATGATTACTGTAGCAGTCGCCCCATACTCCAAGGTTAGATCTGGTGTGCCTGGTCAGTGGGGTGTTGCTAAAAATAATTATGTCCCCATAAGAAGATGACTGGATGCCTGACCATCCTGTTCCTCATTTATCTAACTTGCCCCTGCCTATGGAAGCTCACATGTCTATCTCTGAGCCTTGTGCTGGGCTAACTATGCCTGCTTCACTGCCAGAGACGCATCAGAAAGACTCAAGGGTCTACCTGAAGAGGCTCCCACCTTTTCCCACCAGAGATGAGAAAGTTGGAGCACCAATGAGAATAACAATGTCAGGATATTAAACCGCATCAAATATCCTTCTCTATGTATTCAAAATAATATAAAAATTATTTTGTCATTGTTAGAGGTTACAAGTGAGCCAGGTCTTCATTCTGAAAAGTGATAAATCAAGGAGAAGAATACTTTTGAAGTACTCCCCTTGGGGAACTGTGTGCCAATGCCAATGCCTAGTCCACCCGTCAAAGTGGTTTTGGAACTCTTCTCCTGGAATGACCATCAGAGTCATCGTTGTATTACCCTTGATGTCTTGAATGCCATCAAATATCTTCATTTCAATATTTCCTGTATATTTGGGTAAAGAAAAAAGTCATAGGGGGCCAGATTGGGTGAGCAGGGAGGGTGTTCCAGTACAGTTATTTGTACAGTGCTGCCAATTTAAGCGCATGGTGGCAAGTTGGCAAACTTAATTGTCAATTACCAACAAATAACAGCTCCATGGACATTCCAGAAAAAGAGTTCCAAAGTTGTTCTGACAGGTGGACTAGGTGCTGACATGGGTGCATAGCTTCCCAAAGGGAATAGTTTGAAGGTGACTGTAGTGATATTCAGCAATTGAGGTATTGAACACTTTTTCTAGGATGGGTTCGTGAACTTCATTGTCAGGCTCTGTATGTCTGAAAATTCCCATAATTAAAAGGTGAAAAGGAGAAGACAAAACAACAATGACAAAATGGTTATTCCAATATCTGTGAATTTAGGTTTGAAACGTCAATATCTCTATGTGAAGAAGAGAAGTTCTCTGATTTTCCAGGAGAAAGGAAGTCTGGAGAAAGACAAGTTTACGAGAACAACAACCTAGTAAAAGAGCTGAGGTAAATAAGGACTTGGAAATTTTTCTCTCACCTTCAAGCGTTGTCCTTAGACCTCAAATATTCCGTTACATTTTAGTTCAAGTGTTGAAAGTTGCAATCCTCAGTATGACTTCCTCTTCCTTCTCTTCTCTCCCTTCTTCATTCTCCTTCTCTTTAAAAAAATGGAACAAGGCATTCTTTCAGAATATTATGGAATTTTTACCCTTCTTTCTCTGTTAAATATATTATGATATTAATATGATAAATATCATAACATATATATATATATTTTTTTTTTACTGTGCTCTCTGTTAGCATTTTGCTTTTAAACAAAAAGCCTGGGTGCTCCTTGGTGTGCGCAGCATAAAACTCCAGCGTAACATGGGTCCTCACATGACTTTCTTCCTGTGTCTGTGTATTGTCTTTGTCTTCTGTTCTCTCCTAAGTACTTCTGTCATTATATATTTCATCTCAAGATCTTAACTTGATTATATCTGCAAAGACTTTTTATCCAAATAAAGTCACATTCATCAGTTCTAGAGATTAGGACATGGACATATCTTTTTGTGGTGCCATCATTCAACCTACTACATTTACTCTGATAGACTTAGGTGTATATTTATTTTTGTTTCGCTGTCTTACTATGTTTTTTTTTTTCCTGAATCTTAGAATGCATGCCTTTTTTCAATTCTGGAAAATTCTAATGCATTATCTTTTAGACTTATTTCCCTCCCTCAGTCTCTTTGCTGCCCGTCTGGATGCTCTATCAGATATACGTTAGATGTCATTCAGTTCTCCAAATTCTTTAACATTGCTTTATATTTTTCATCTATTTATCTCTCTGTATTTTGTTCTTGATAATTTCTCCCCATCTACTTTTGAGTTCACTTATTCTTTATCCAGCTGAATCTAACCTGCCCTTTAACTTGTCCATTGAGTTTTTTTTTTTTTGAGTTGGAATCTCACTCTGTCACCCAGGTTGGAGTGCAGTGGCACAGCCTCTACATGCTGGGCTCAGGCGATCTTTCTGCCTCAGCCTTCCAAGTAGCTGGAACCACAGGCATGTGTCACCATGCCCAGGTGATTTTGTGATTTATTGTAGAGACGAGGTCTCACCATGTTGCTCAGGCTGGTCTTGAACCCATGAACTCAGGTAATTCTCTTGCCTCTGCCTCCCAAAGTGCTGGGATGACAAGCATGAGCCACCGAACCCGGCTAGTTCATTGAGATTTTAATTTCAGTGATTATATTTTTTACTTCTAGGATTTTTGTTTGGCAACTCTCAAAATATGCCTTATATAATACTCTCCCCTCATGTTCCATAGTTGTTTCAGGATTGGTATCTGATAAGTCCAATATATGAAGTTCTTGAGGGATCTAAATCTTGTGTTTATTGTTTTGTCTGATTCTCACATGTTACCTTGTGCCCTTGGGTGTTTTATACAATTTTATATGTTCTTTCATATTGTAGTTGATTTGTATCTGTGAAAATCTCATAACAAGCCTGTCCTCCTACAAGATAATTTTTTTTTTTTGAGTTGGAGTCTCACTCTGTCGCCCAGACTGGAGTGCAGTGGCCGCTCCCGGCCACTGCAGCCTTGACCTGCTGGGCTTCGGTGATCCTTCCGCCTCAGCCTTCCAAGTAGCTGGAACTACAGGCACGCGCTACCATGCCCGGCTAATTTTTGATTTATTGTAGAGATGAGGTCTCGCCAAGTTGCCCAGGCGGGTCTTGAACCCGCAGGCTCAGGCAGTCCACTCACCTCAGCCTCCCAAAGGCACGGGATTACAGCCTGAGCCACTGAGCCCGGCTAAGATAATTTTTTAAAAGAGAATTTGTATTTGTTTCTGCCGTGCTCTCCAGAAATGTTACAAATCTGAAATCACTTCAAATGAATTTTTTGGTTTTTGTTTTCAGTTTAATGCAGACGTGACTTCTAAACTCATATGTATACAGAGTTATGGATACATAAATGTAATCAGGAGGAATGGACTTTCTTCTTTATTTTTTTTATGCCCAGAACTGAGACAGAGACAGATTTTCCTCATACTTCTTCACGGATGAGTTGTTTTCTGGTCTGCTCTCTCTGGGGACCTGGCCTTGTGAAGGATTTGGCTCTGTGGGATCTCAGTGCCAATTCCTATCCATCCTGTATGGCTCGAGAGGCTTCTCTCCACACCCTACATGGTCACTGAAACGCAAGACTCAAGGTTCCATGTAAAACCGAAGACACCTAGAATTAGAGTTTCTGCTTTCCAAAGTGGTACTTTTCTATCTACCTAGCTGCTTGCCTGTTTGGAGTCATGTGTATACATGCAATAAGTGGATACTTTACTCAGTCATAAGGAGAATTTAGAACAAAATTACCTATGCCATTGGAATGACTGCTTGGTTCTGAACATTGCACATATTGTCAGAGCTTGCGTATATAGCCTAGAGTCTGGCAGCCGAGTCCTCTTGTTCTTTTTACACGATAGAGTTTCCTTGCTCTGTAAAACCCATCACTGTATTTCGACAACATATTAGATGATTAATTGCCTGCTTTAGAAAACATGACTTTGCAGAAGACCGCTGTATAGTTTATTCCACATTTTATTATATATTACATGTAACTTAATTACAAAAAAGCAATTTTATGTGAGGATCATAACTAAGTAGGAGCCAAGGTATGATTCATTATTTTTTTTAGGAAGTTTATTATCCAAGGATGCTGAATTACCAGTGTGACCTCAGGCACCCACCCTTGCCTTTGTCATTTTATATTTCATCTCAAGATTGTCTCTCCTTGTTTGAAGCTGTGAAAGGAGAAGATGGCCAGGAAAGAAGACGCTTTCTGTAAATTGCCGGTTCTGCACGGCATTCCCGAGACTTCCCCACCCCTTCACATATCAGCCTCAGTCATGTCATTGTCTTCTGTTCCTTGAGTGTTGGGCTTCCACTGGGCGTTTTTCTCTCCAGAGTCATCTAGCCCTTCCACACAAAGAATGCCAAGTAGTTTGTGAAAACTAGGAGACTGTGCTTTTAGGAAGGGACATGTAGGGATAAGAGCACTGTATGTGGAGCCAGAAGACTTAGACTTGAATCCTGACTGACCTCACATACTGGCTTAGGCGCTCATAAAATCCAGTTGACCTCTCTGAGCCTTTCTTTCCGCACACTCCCTGTTTCCTCAGACCCCGACTCCTGGCAACCATAATTATTCTCTTTGCTCCACGAATTTGACTATTTTAGACAGCATATATACGTGGAATTATGTAATATTTGTCCTTCTGTGTCTGGCTTATTTCACTTAGCATAATGTCCTCTAGATTTATCTGTGTTATCACATCCTGAAGGTTTTCTCTCTTTTTAAAGACTGACGTGCATGGTCCACTTTTATTTAGTTGTATCATTTTAATAATGTGATAAACACCTGACCCAAACACCCAAAATAAAAACTTGATACTAACTTACCTCTTACTGCAAAGTTTGCCAAACAATCCATTTTCTTTCTTCCTCAGTCTGAGGTCAGCATCACAAATTCTACTCTCATTAGTCCCCTCCTTTAAAAAATTATTTTATTGTGGAGGTATGTTTTTAGGAAATATTTAAACAAGTTCAATTATTTAAAAACTTTAGTACAAGTCTACCATGATGTATGTTTTGGGACTTTTTTCACTTAATAACATATGACTCAGATTTATTCATATCATCGCATGCTGCTTTTAGCTTGCCTAATGATTCTCTTGTGTGTCTATGTCACAGGTTATGGACTATATTCCATTGTAGGTATATACCAACCCCCCCCCCGACACTCCCATTCATCTGTCAATAGACATTTAGGTTGCTTACATAGCATGGCTCTTATGAAGAATGCTGTAAGGAATAAGGGAGTGCGAATACCTCTTTGAGATCCTGTTTTCATTTATTTTGGGTAAATACCTAGAAGTGGATTGCTAGAGCATATGACTTTGCTTTTTCTAGAGAGTTAGTACAGGCTGTTGGGAAGCTTCCTAAACTCCTTGCTATTCTTACTTACAAACAAACATTCACATCCTTCCCTCTCATCTTACTGGAAAAGGGTCCCTCTCACTAGGCAAATCCCCTCATTTCTCCCTTGCATTTAATTTTCCTCTGCTTTCTCATGATCTATGCTTTGCCAATTTTATACTCAATATTTTTCAGAGAAACTTCTTGAAAGAGTTGCTTTCATTCATTACTATTTTTTTTGCTTCCCATTTCACTGAAGTCTGTCTTCCATCTCTAATACCCTACTGAAACTCCTTTTGTTAAAGTCACTATTTTCAATTTTTAGTCTTTCTCTTGTCATCGATTGCTTCTTTTCTGAAAACAAAGTGTAGTGTCTGCTGAACAAAATCCACTTCAGTTCAACAGACAGTTTCGGAGAATCTATTCTTAATTAGGCATTGGAAACAGGAGAAAGAAAGGTCTTGTCTCCTAGGAGCTGACAGTGTAGTGAGGGATATTAGCACACAAGCCATCGCAGTTCTAAGATCTTGGATGGAGACGTGTTCAGTGTCAGGGGAGCACACAGGAAGGATTTACTATTCCCAAGCAAAGTTGTGTATGCCATTGCCTGTGTGGACCTTGCATGACTTTTCTGAAAGTTTCTGAGAATTATTTAGGAAATGGATGGAAAGACATGAAAATTGAAAGTTTAAAAGGCTGAAAACATTTGCTCCCATTTCTTCCTTTACTGAGATGGTGGGGGGAATAAGAATAATTATTCCTTTGAATTAATTAAATGTTTGGTTACGTGTGTGCAGCACTTCATAGAACCTATAAAATTTTTAGTAAAATTCAAAGTGGTAAAATTTATGTGAATGATCTACCTATGATCCTCCATACCTTGAGAATTTCTATATATGATTCAGAAATGCAGCAGGCACTCAAGACTATTGATATTGATGGTAAGTTTTGTGTTTCCAGTATTTAGGGATCTGTAGTGATGAATATACGTTATGTTTATCTGATTAATTACAAATGATAGGAAAACTAAACTTTAAAATGTTATAAAATATTGGTTTTTGGTCATATATGTTATAAAACATTTTTATATGTTGTAATGTCATTATTTACAATAGTGAATCTAGATATAGATAATTGGATTGATTAATTAATTACTGGATTGGATTATGACATATTCTTAACATTGGTCCATGCATGGTCCACTTTTATTTCGTTATATAATTTTAATAATGTACTAAATACCTGACACAACCACCCAAGATAAAAACTAGGACTTTGATGATAATTTACATCTTACTGTAAAGTTCACCAAGCAACCCATTTTTCTTTTCTTTTTTTTTTTTTGAGTCAGAGTCTCACTCTGTTGCCCAGGCTGGAGGGCAGTGGCACACTGCTCACGGCCACTGCAACCTCCACCTGTTGGACTCAGGCAATCCTTCTTCCTAAGCCTTCCAAGTAGCTGGAACTACAGGTGTGTGCGACCAAGTCCAGCTAATTTTTCTTGACTTATTGTAGAGAAGAGGTCTCACCAAGTTGCCTAGGCTGGCCTCGAACCCCTGGGTTCAGGCAATCCTCTCACCTTGGCTTCCCAAAATGCTGGGATTATAGGTGTGGGCCACCGTGCCCTGCCACCCTTCTTTCTTATTCCTCAACCTGAGGTCAACATCTTATATTCTACACTCGTCATTCTCCCCCTTTTAAAAAATTGTTTTATTGTGGATATATATTTTTATGAAATATTTAAACAATTTCAATTGCTTTAAAAACTTTAGTGCAAAGTTTACCATGAAGTATGTTTTGGGGCTTTTTTCACGTAATCGTATATGACGAAGATTTATTCATATGATTGCCTGCTGCTCTTAGCTTGCCTAATCGCCTGTATACTATGATCTTGTGTGACTATATCACTGGCTATCCATCCATTCTCTCTCTGACGAGCACTTGGGTTCTTTTCAGATTTTAGCTGTGGTGAACAGCTTTTGCCATGACATTTCCTGATGTGTGGGTACTAGGATTTCTCGTGGTTATATGCCTTATAAGTGGTGCTACTGAACTATAGGTCTGTACATTAATGCCCTATTGTTTTCCAAAGAAGTCTCCAGCAATATGCCCAGTTAAGGAGCTCTGTGGATCCAAGATCTTTTCAATATTTTATATTTTCAGACTTACTTTTTGATAATTATATGAGCGTGGAATGATATGGGTTAGGGAAAACTTTCTTAAACAAGGCAAAAGAATTTGACTATAAAAGAAGAGGTTAATATACAAGGGGTCCCCAAAAAAACTTGAATATTTTTTGGAGGGCAGGCCCCTTGTAGTCCAGGCTTCCCCCGCGAGATGAGTGTTCTAGCAACATCCGTGGACCAGCTAGCATTGTTGTGAGAGACTGTGTTTGGCTCTGGTGAATTCTTTTTGGAGATTCTTTCAATATGTTTGTTCCTTTCATGATGGGTGATTTACGAGTGCACCTGCCCACCCCGCACTGTGTGTTCAACTGTGTTTTGCCCCAAACAGTGAGACCCCCCCATGCCCCATCCTCCCTATTCATCCCATCTCTCCCTGAGCAAAAAAATTTTTTTGTTTCTCTGAATGACGAAAGTCTTCAAAAGGAAATGTTTTGCAGAGGTGAAACAAAAAAACAACGGAAGCACTAAAAGACATCAAAACTGATGAGTTCAAAAACTGTTTTGAGCTGTGGAAAAAGTGTCTCAATAGGTGTATTGCGTTCAGTGGGGAGTGCTTTGAAGGTGACTGAAGTTTAAACATGGAAGAGTAAATATACAATTTTTTTATAAGTAAGTTCCACAGTTTTTTTTTTTGGGAGGTGTCCTCCCTTGTATTTGATATATTTTAGAATAAAAATGATGTAGATAGGTTGGCATGACCAGAAATAAAGTTAGTACGTCTAAATGCAAAGCAGTACTTGAAGATTGAAAGCATCAGGCTGCTCAAATAGATGTGGATTCATTCTCATAAAAATTATAGATGGAAAATCCTAGAAGTCAAAATGGGCCACAGATAGAATGTTACTAAGCAATCAAGTAGTAATTGATAAGTTGCCATCGTATGCATGTACCCATCTATTCATTCATCTAAGTCACCAAAGTATTTTTTGAGCTCACAATAATGACCATGAATGCCCTTTAAAAGTAGAAGCTGTGTCCTACGTTGAACAGAAAAGGTTTTCTTGTGGTTGTTTTAGTTTATAGAGGGTTCTAAGTTAGAAAATGAAAATTGTGTCTTTGCCCTAGTCTTTCCCTACAGTCCCTAGAGGTAAACAGTGTTAATAATTTGGTAGATTCTTTCTGGCCTCTTGTTTTACACACACACACACACACACACACACACACACACACACACACGTAAATACACACACACACACACACATAATGATTTTAACCAGTCTCATATTGATTAATGAAGTTATCTGTAAAATTTTTGCTATTACAGATAATGCCCAAAGAACATCCTTGTGCATCATTCCTCCCACACTTGTGCACATATTTTTATAGGATAGATTTCTAGATATAAAATAACTGGACTAAAGGATATGTACATATGAAACTTTGATAGGTACAGCAAAATAGTCCCACTCTCCTCCCAAAAAAAGTTTCTTCCCAAATGATTCCCCATGGCAGTGATCGTGAGTGCCTTTAAAATGAGAGGTTCTGGCCGGGCTCAGTGGCTCAGCCTGTAATCCCAGCGCTTTGGGAGGCCGAGGTGAGTGGATTGCCTGAGCTCATGGGCTTGAGACCCGCCTGGGCAACTCTGCAAGCCCTCATCTCTACAATAAATAAAAAATTAGCCAGGCATGGTAGTACACGCCTGTAGTTCCGGTTACTTGGAAGACTGAGGTGGAAGGATTGCCGGAGCCCAGCAGGTCAGGGGTGTGGTGGCCAGGAGCGTGCCACTGCACGCCAGTCTGGGTGGCAGAGTGAGACTCCAACTCAAAAAAAAAAAAAAAAAAAAAAAAGAGAGGTTCTATGCTCTGCTTCTGTTGGCCATAAGGCATTGCCTATTGCCTTTAGGGGGTCTCTGGATGATCTTCAGGTGGTCTGTTAAGTGGCTCTTCTCGCTGTGATTTTTTTTCTTTGATTTCCCTATAACTATGAAAATTGTCCATTGGAAAATGACTGTGTCAATGTTATTAAGCTATTGCTTTACCTACAACAGAGATAGGATGGAATAGGCACTCGTTTTTTGAAGGACTGGGTAATGTAGATATCATTATGTCAACTTTTTATGCCCAATTGTATAGTTTGCTATTGATAGGAATTAAGAAAAGCACAAGTCACTAGGTGATATACATCCACCTTTGTTTACATCAGCTTAGCTTAAATTGAAAGATGTCAGAGAAAAAGTACAATGAGGCCTTTGAGTCCTTTGGTTTTACTTTCCTCTCTGAACATAATGGGATGCAGAGACTACAGTGACTTTTTTTCTTGCCAATGGAAACATGAAGCTGAAGAAATTCCTTCTTATCTTCCTTGCAAATGCATCGCCAAGTGTGGATTGTGTGTGTGTGTGTGTGTGTGTGTGAAGAAGCCCTGATTTTTAAGTTTTTTTTCATCTTTTATTTTAAAGATGTGGGGCACAATTCAGGATTAGGTATACAAATGTTCATTATGCAGCTACCCTTGATGAAGTGTGCCCCCCATCGGCAGTTTCCCTCAACTGCGGGTCTCACCCCCCTCCCCTGGCAGTTTCTCACAACTGCCAATCCCTTTCTTGCAATATTATGATCATTGTTCAAGGTCTGCTTATGAGTGAGACTATATGGTACTCTATTCTTTGTTTCTGTGATAGAGCACTGAGTATGGTAGACTCTAAATGCATCTAACTTGCTGCAAAGTCCATATGTTTATCCTTCTTTATGGCTGCATAATATTGCATTGTGTGTATACCACATTTTTTTAATCCAGTCCAGCTTCAGTGGGTAGCGTGGTTGGTTCCATGTTTTTGCTATTGTGAATAGAGCCACAACAAACATGTGAATGCAGGTATCTTTTTTTAAAGAATGATTTGATTTTCTCCGGGTATATTCCCAATAGGGGAATTGCTGGGTCATATGGAAGGTCAATTTCTAGTTCTTTCAGAAATCGCCACACTGTCTTCCAAAGAGGTTGCACTAGTCTGTATTCCCACCAGCAGTGTAGAAGCGTTCCTTTTTCTCCACATCCTCGCCAGCATCTGTTGTTGTTTGCTTTATTAATGATGACCTTTCTTACTGGGGTTAGGTGGTATCTCAACATGGTTTTGATTTGCATTTCGCTGATGATGAGTGAGGCTAAGCACTTTTTCATGTGTCTGTTGGCTGCCCGTATATCTTCATTTGAGAAGTGTCTATTCATGTCTTTTGCCCACTTTTTAAAGGGGCTGTTAGTTTCTTTCCTTTTGGCACATCTGAGTTCCTTGTAGATCCTAGATGTTAGGCCTTTATCAGACATACAGTTGGCAAATATTTTTCCCCATTCTGCGGGCTGTCTCCCTGCTCTCTTGATGGTTTCTTTTGCTTTGCAGAAGCTCGTTAATTTGATGAGGTCCCACTTGTCTATCTTATTTCTTAAGGTATTGGTGTTTGGGGTTCTGAATAGGAATTGGTTGCCAGTTTCAATTTCCATAAGGGTGTCTCCTACATCTTTTAAGATTCTTATAGTTTGAAGTTTTACATTTAGGTTTCTGATCCATTACAAGTTGATTTTTGTGTATGGGGATAGGCGGGGTCCTGTTTCAATCTTCTGCATGTGGTCAGCCAGTTTTCCCAGCACCATTTACTGAATAGGTTCTCTCCCCAGTAGTTGATGATGGAGGCTTTGTCGAAGATGAGTTGTTTGAGAAATTGAGAAGCCCTGGTTTTAAATGGCAGGAAAATTTTCATACTCAGATTTTCTTGGGGACACATTTCCTTTCCCCTGTCTTTACACATGCTGCAAAGTTGCTG